TGATGAAAGCAATGTGCGTTTGGTTGCACCAAGTGGCGGTAGTGCCGAGTCTGGAGGTTGTGAGCAGAAACTCTGGCTTCCATGTCCCCCTTCCACCAAGTGAAGTGAGCAGTATAACCGCCACATATGTCCTCGCCAGCGAGCTTGGCACGGTTGCCTGTGAGCACCCTTCCACGGTGATCGTGCGTCGGTCGCACGCCTTTCGCCAAGTTGGCCAGATCCCACGCCAGCACGTCACAGATTGTTGCTCGTGTGGATGGCAAGACACGAGAGCTAGGCAAACCCACCACGAAGGCCCTGGAGTAGGCGCTTTGGTGCCGTGACAGCGAGCTCCAACTCCAAAAAGAGTAGGATTCGTCCTTGAAACTGGGAACACCGTCTTCATGAAGAAAGAGAGGAATGGCGAACGCCGCGTCGGCCTGCTTCAGCTTGATTTTTTGCAGGAAGTCAGCACTTTCTTCGGCCCAATAGGTAGCCAAGGATATATGTCCTTCGGGACCGAAGACGCAAATATCCAACCTTTGGGCTACGCAGGTCGAAGCAAACGTCCCTGGCTATAGTTCTAGACACGAGCAAACGTAGAAACGTACTGGTTAAGAAGACCAATGCACACATTCTGACGAAGCATCTCGGCCAGCATGTCAGACGGCAACACAAAGTTGATGCTTTCCATGACCACATGAGGATCCAAGCCTGCTTTCTGCAAGGGCAGCTCCACCGTGTAAGGGTCGAAGGGCAGCTTCATCCAGCGCCAAAAGTCCCGGGATCGGCCTTTGCGTCCCAGCTCATGTGCTGTGGACTGACGGAGCCCATCTCCCACAAAAGCATTGGCGATCTTCGCCGCTTTTTTGATGGACATTGCCTGCCATGGGCTCATTATTAGTCTAAGTAATGGTATGTTGTACAATTTAAAGAATAGAGTAAAACAACAACATGTTTCGATGCGGCTGTGGCTGCCCCACTTCCAATCTCCTCTGCCAGAAATCTGCAGCCAAAGCTGTCCAGATCATCGGTATTCCTATAGTTGCAATCAATCCCATGCACCAGATGCATCCTCATCTCGAGATGGTTTATTGACTAACGAAACAACGGAGGCCTTTCAAGGCGAGGTTGTGCTGGAAGGGACCTGAGCTCACTTTGACCGTACACACAGAACACATGGGCAAAACAAGAGTTGTAGAAACATGTAGGGTGAGGTTAGGCAGCTTTGCACCACCCGCCCTCAGCATTATTATAGGTTGTCGGCTGTTGCCACATTGCCACGTCGATGTATGCATGATGCATATATTATAAGCTGATGTTGCAAATACATGAGTATAGTCGATCGAGGAGCGAGGAAGATCTGGCCTGGTTCCAAGCAGCTGGCCTGCGTGGCCATGGAAACGAAAGACATGTCATGGACGGTATGTTGACACTTGCATGCAGGTGCCGCAACATCTTCGAAATTTGGAATCCAGCCTAGCGCGGGCTAGCATGAAATGCACACCTTTCTCGAACAGCGCCCCAACACAGCCGAGTCAGACATGGTATGCACTGCACAGGTGAACTGCGAGGAACAGCTGATCGGGCCATATGATCTCGGAACAAGTATAAGAATAAGAGCATCTCCACCGGATGTCTGTCCAGGGAGCATTAATCTCCACCGCGGAAGTCTAATATGTTTTGCAGGACTGCGGTTTGTAAAAGACCTGGTCTGTTCCACGCTTGGAATCTAGGCACCGTGGCTGTGCACGTGTAGCAAAAGTGCTGAGGATGCAGAAGTATCCTAGCAAGATCGACGCCTCGTCCGAATCATGTGCGATGGAAAACTAAGTTCATGCAGTGCAGCATGTCCTCTACACATATTGTTGACGATAGGGTTTTAGATGGTTTTAGGGTGCACAACACCAAGGCATCATGATTAGGCGCCAGTTTCCTCAACCGGCTTGCTTTTGGCTTTCGCCTTTTTCGCCGGCTTCGGCTTTTGTGACTTCACCAAGGCTTCAGCGGCGGTCTCATGGCCCGCGAAAATCTTCAAATGCTCAAGATGAGCCCTCACGTAGGGAAGGTAGGCCGCTTCCTGGCATGCATGCAGGCACAATATATCACAAGGTCGATGCAACAGCGCACACACGTCACACAAGGCAAGCGTGATCTCCTCGTCCACCTTCTGCTCCACCNNCAGCATAGTGGGTCCTCGTGTGGTTTAATGAACAACTTAAGCATACTTCCCCTGGCAGCAGGGGTGAAGTTGACAACCATTCTATCGGCGTGGCGATGTGCCAACGGCCGATACTAGAACGTTTGTGGTGTGGTGGCGCACAGCAGCCGAACCTCACCCTAGATGCAAGAATGCTGCCACAACACCGAAACGTCGCCAGATCGGTTTTGATCTCGTCGAGCAACTTGTCGGCAAAAGGCACGCTCGCCAGCTGGGTTTCGAGTGCCGTGGTGCTGGTCACCTTCTTCAGAAGCTTATCCTTCAGATCGCGTCCCTTCTCCAACGGGGTCGTCGGCTCCACCTTTTGCCGTTTCGCATTTGGCTTCGCCTTCGCCTTCACCTTCGGCTTCTCGATCGGCGTCTCTTCATGATCAGGTGTAGCCGCAGCTTGCTCCGAGCCTGCGGAACCACATGAAGAGTTTGTCGATTTCATCGACTCCCCCGACGAGGGCAGAGCTGGCACAGCCATCGGTGTTCCGGCAACTGGCGACACGGGCACGGGCGCAGGTCGTTGTGCAGTTGCAGGCGGAGGAATCGAGCACGTAGTGATCCGACCTGCAGAGGTCAGGACGTGCATATTGGGTTAACTTCACATGGCCATGAACATATTGCAGCATATGATCCAGCACTGAAGAGAATCATATCGATCAAGCAGCGTTTCTTCGTCTCGTTGGTGGTATCACTTCTGCTCTGTTCCACCAGATACAGTTCACCTCCCGGAACATTGCTGTCAGCCTGGACTTCTCCACGGGATCGCTTGTGCATAATCACTGCCTCCGCATCTGAGCCATACAAGCTTTCCACCTGATCAGAAGCTATCGCATGTTTTTACGTGTTTACAGTACCGACCGACCAACATACCTAACAACAATAAGACCTGAAGCAATCAGTCACAACCAAGTTAAATCTGGCTTTGTACATGCGCTCGTTCGATCGAGAGCCGC